CTCAATAGCTTTATATTATTCCAAAAATTTGCATATATTAATTTTAATTCAAATTGATAAGCAAAGTTTAATTACAAAATAAGAGGTTAGAGATAAGAGAAATTTCCATCTATTGACTTCCATTCTTCATGAAGTTATTGGGTGGGTTTGAATTTTAGTTGCGTATAATTGATTATAAAAAATTAATTAATATGATTGATTTTGATTATAGTTGATTAAGTTATACTGTGATAATGTTTGGATATCATTTTTTGAAATTTATTTTGATAAAATTGAAGATATTTGGATGTTTTTAATCAAAACTAATTTTAGATTTATAAATTACAATAAATGACATTATCTTTTATAATATAAATATTTACTCTTTTTGTTCAAAAATATAAGGCATTTTTAACTAACTCTCACCTCCAATATAGTAGTTACTTGTTTTCTAACTAACATCATTTTTTCATATTTACCCTTATTTAATAAGATGTTTTATTCTAAAATAAATATAAATTAATTTATTTATTATGGGTACTTTTGAAAAAAATGCAATGATTACACCTTGAAATGCTAAATATGCCTTATACTTTTTAACATTCAACCTTTGAAAAATGCTTTATATTTTTGAAAGGGGGGAATGTATGGAAAAACAATTTAATTTATATAAAAAATGAATATATATAAGTATAAATAAATTTCATAAAAAAGAAAAATAAAATTATTTATGTTGTCTTAACAGTTGTATCTCCAACGCATTAGTTGTGAAGCAATTTATTATTATATAGCCATATATAAAATATTGTCACTCAAGGACGAGGATTACCTTCAGCCTCAATGGTAGGGATGCGCCTCTTCCTTCGCCTCACACGATCGTGTGGGGCCCATGTTATCACCAAAATAGCATGAAATTGCAACCTGTTGAGGCATGTGATGTGGGGAGTTTACATGGAGGCATCAAAGGGCGAAGTGGCAAGCTGATGTGGCTCCATGCAGGTGATGTGGAGGCATGTGACAGGTGATGTGGTGCTATACATGGCAAATGATCAATAGTACTTTATTTACTGGTGATTGATAGATAGTTTTGGTGGCAACATTTATCTCTGCTAACTCTTAACCTTAAGTGATAATTATTTTTTAACAGCGACTATTTTCCCTTTGTCACTGCTGATTCCGCAGATAGAATCAGCAAAGTACAGAAGCATTCACGGCGATATTGTGAAAATTTTTTGCTGTTGTTTAAATATTCTTTATTTTTCTATTTGTTAAAAAAATTATATAAATTGTACAAAAAAATTAAATAAATTTGTTCACTAATCTGGACAATTCAGATTTAATGTGAATGGTTGAAATTTAATATTAAAAATTTTAATATTAAATTTGCATTATTCATAATATATCTAGATTGTCAACTCATAAAAATTATAAAAAATTTAATACTAAATGTGAACCATTCATATCAAACATGGACTATGGACTGGTGAACAGATTTATTAAAATTTTTAACAATTTATATATATTTTTATCTTAATAAATGTAAAATAAAAAATAAAAAAAATTAAGTTTAGACGGTTAAACCTTATTAGTCTAGATTTGCACCTCCTTCAATGAAAGTGCGCGAGAGGCTTATCTCCTCGGTAGAGTGAATCCTTTGAGGTGGGTCTGTGCTGTACTAATATCCTTTTCTTAATAAATTGATCCTTTATTCCAAAAAAAAAAGAAAAAGAAAGAAAGTAGTAGCCGCCTTGTGTACAAGAGATACCATGAAATATATCAATAGTTGCCATTGTAATGTTTAAATAAACAATTTATTCAATTAGCAAAATTTTTAAGTGGGACAGATGTAGTAGTATACTCAAAATTGGGGGCATGCATCTATAAACATTAAAGTAGGAAAAACACGACTATTAATTTTTATAATTTTATCATGTTTTGTTATTTGTCCATCTATTTTGTTTTTTATTTCACTCCAAGTCTCTCTAATTTTTCACGTCTACAACGTTAGTCTCCCTCAATTTGTAAATATGCTTAGAAAGATAATGATGTAGTACTAATAATGTCATGAATTCTTTGACGTGTAACTAGCAGTATTAAATCTCGTGCTAAATGTTAAAAGAAGTGGGGGAAAAAATAAAAGAGACAGGACAATCACAAAATACAGAAAAATGATGATGATCAATTGAAAGAAACTGAAGATTATGCTCGATACGTGAAGACAAAATAAACTCCAACATGAACATTAACAAAAAATAACAATAAATGGCTTCAATATCAGAAAAATAAAACAGAGTACCTTGGTGTGGCGAACGAAACCAAAACAGAGATGGAAAGACAAGTTTGAAGTCTTTAAAGATGAAAGAAATAAAACCTAATTAACATTCATTTGATGTATAGTGAAATGATGTTAATTATACGTTAAATAATTTAACATTGTTAATGTTAAATTATCATCCCTTTGAGCATATTTAAAAATAGAGTGACTAATATTATGAACGAGAAAAAAACTACAAAGACTTGTGGCAATGATAAAAAAGTACAAGGATGCACAACTCTAAACGTTCGCCCCTGGTTAGGCATAAGGCCACTGGCTTTTTGATTTTTTTATTCACTGCAATTTAGATAGAGATAATACCAGAGTTGTTGCTACTTTTTATTAAATTTTGGAACAAAAAAATTAAATTAATTAAACATACTTAGCTTCCTAACAATTTCTTTTTTAAAGACGATGAGTTATAAATATAAATACAGATAATTGCAAATAAAAATCTAAATTACAAACTGATAGTTACATTTTGAATTTAAATATCTTATTTTTATTATTAAAACAACATAATTTGAAAATATTTAAATTGATATTTATAAATTATTTTTCAAAAAACTTTGTTGAAAATCTAAGTTCCAGTTTGCTTGCTGAAAAGTAATGGATTAAAAAAATAAAAATAAAGTATAATGATCAAGATGTGGAGAAGAGATAATTAAATTAGCCATATTTATGAGGAGATATGTGTAATTTAATTCATGAGATTAAGAGTTATGATTTATAAGGTTTGTGGTGGGTGTATTAGTGATTCCTACATCTGGGATATATGTTTTTTATTTTTTTAATCTATTCCATTACATTCCTTTTCAGTAAGCAAATGGGACATAACTATTATTAATTTGTTGGGTTAAAGTGTATTTTTACCCTTAAATAATTTTTTGAGGAGAATTGGACACTCTGTCATGATAAGTGAGGCAATTTCATCCTTAAATTATTTTTTCGAGGAGCAAAAAACTCCTTCTATTAAACAATCGTTAACTTTGCTATTTTTTGTTGATGTGACATTTGCTTGGAGCCCATGTATGGTAACAAGTAAGATTTTGACCATATCCTTTAATGTTAATTTGCCTCTAAATTCTTTTTTTTCAAAAACGCTTGGCACCCTAGAATTATTTTTTAGGAGCGCTGGATATATTAAAGTATTGTTAAAACAAAATTTAATAAATATTGTAAAAATATTAAATATTAAATATTTAATAATTTGAACATTATTATTCTTAAATATTCATCCAAAAATTATAAATTAGTTTTTGAATATTAACCACTCAAACTAATTTTTTTTATAAATTTATATATGACTTATAATATTTTATATATAGATCATATTTTTAATATTGATTGAGTTTTTTTAAATTTTTAGGTCATTGTCTATAATTTTTTTAATAATCAACTAATGATTTTTCTTCAAAATATTACATCACTCAATTTAATATTTTAATATTTTTGATATTTTGTAATTTTATATTAAAAATGAAGCAAATGAGCCTCCAAATTAATGGAGGGATTTTTTTGCCCCTCATCTCTCCATTATTCTCTTATTAAATGCCTTTTTTTTGTAGCACATTAATGGGATATGCAATATCCTTCAAATAAGCATTTTTGTTAGCATATTGTTGATTTTGATTTGTCATGTAGTAATATTGCAGCGTGCAGAAAGTGTTCAATTTGGGTGATGCAATATTTTTGAGGATGATTGTTAGTTGACAAAAATATTATAAAGAATGACCTAAAAGTTTAAAGAACTTAACCAATATAAAAAATATTGGTAAGTTTCGACCCCTATGAAAGGTGTAATGATTTGGACACTATCTCAAACAAAGACTTAGAGATCGATATAAAAAATAACAAGTCATCTCTAAATTTATGGAAAAAAACTAGTTTTAAGCTGTTAATATTTTAAAAAATATTTTATAAATTTTAGATGAATATTTATAAATAATAATATTTAAATTATTAAATGTTAAAATATATAATATTTTAGCAATATTTATTAAATTTTATTTTTACAAAACTTCATGGTGCCCAGTGTTCCTAAAAAAAGACTTTCGGGTGTCTAGCGCTCTTGAAAAAAGGATTTAGGGGTAAATTATCACCAAGAGACATGGTCAGATTTTTATATGTTACTGTGTGCGGGCCCCACGCACATGCTCCATTAATAGAAAATGGTAAAATTAATGGTTGACTAATGAAAGGGGTTTTCTGCTCCTCAAAAAAATAGTTTAGGGGAAAAACTGTTCCATTTATCAGTATAGGGTGCCCAACACTCCTTAAAAAAAAGTTCAAGAATAAAAATGCACCTTAACCCTAATTTGTTCTTATGGAACTTAAGTATCATTTCCTCCCTTTGATGGTTTTACTTTTGACTTTGTATAACATAGAAAAAACTGACCTAATAACGACAAACCATTGTTTAATCTACAAATATTTATTTAAGCCTTTGTTAGATCAACAAGTTCCTTCGCCCCATGTTCCTCATCGATAATACGATATTAAGCTCCGCAATAAGACAAAAGCCGCTGAAAGTTTTGTTTTAATTAATGTTCAACTTAGTCTCGGAACTCGATAATATTTTTGAAAGCTTTGAGGATCACAAAGAATCATGGATAAAACTGATAATTAATTAATTATTTTGAAAAGACATCATTAAACCTACTATATAAGTGCTAAGAAGGGAGAGTCAGTGCATAGGTGGAGAGGAGTGAAACCAATATCATATGTTTGAAGCTTCGCACGCAGATTTCAAGATTCAAGTACTTTGTAAGTTTATTTATTTCTGTTCTATGTTCAATTTTTCCATTTGCTCGTTCTATATATACTCCTGTTGATTAAAAGGCCCACCTTCTCAAATTGGAAATTCTGCTGACTGGCGTCTTTATTGTTCTGAAATGCTAGTAGGATAATTTTACTAATTTAAAGCACCAAAATATAGGTATTCATTGACACACACACACACACACATTTAAAGGAGAAATAGAATTAGAGGATGAGAAATAGAGCAGTGGTTATTCGGGATGGATGAAACCCTACTAACATTATATTGTATGACTTCTTGATTTTCTAAATTTTTATCATTAGAAGTTGCTCTAAAAGTTTCCTTTCCAAATTTGTATTACATTCTCTCTTTTAGTTAATGAGTTTAAATATAAGTAATATTTAAAAAATATATAATTAATATACCACCAAATGCCTTTTATTAAAAATCAAAGAACCCTTGTAGAAAGAGCTCTATAAAAGGCTTGGCCTCTCCCGTCAAATGGTATGTACATAGAACTATTTCACCACCTATATGCAACTAATTATCTTCCATGATTTATAATTTAACTTTTAAGATCTGTAATTGATCTCTCAGAATTTGCAACTAATTAAGTTATGTTGCCAACTAATAAGGGCATTTTTTCTATTTGTTTTAGGCTAAAATACATAAAACTCCCTTGAACTTTGAGACAGTTGCATATAATCACCCTCACATTTAAAAGTTTAAAATTAACCTCCCTAATCTTAATTTTGTTTTCAAGACCCCCTATTATTAATTATGTTATTTTTTCATGAGGGTTAAAATGTCATTCAACTAAAAATGTTATTAAACAAAAATATTATATTGTATAACTATTTATAATAAATTTCTTATATTTTTTGTATAGTTAAAGCATTGATAAAAAAAATTATTATCACTGTATAAAATTTTAAATATTTATGTTTATATTAGTTTTATCTATTTTTTTATTAACGGTGCATGATTTTATTGTTTTAAAAGATAAATTTTTATTTATATTTTCATGTTAGATTAATGTAATGCACATGGCTAAAATATTTAAAATTTTAAATATTACCATGTTAGATTAGTTTATCTTTTAATACTAGAAAACTATGCACCATTGATAACAAAAAAAACTAGATAAAACTAACACAAAAGTAAATATTTAAAATTTTATATGATGATAATAACATTCGTTTTGGCTATTATCAATGCCTCAACTATCCAAACAATATAAAAAATTAATTAGCCATAGTTTTACAATATAATATCTCGTTTAATAATATTTTTTAGTTGAATGACAATTTAACCTTCATGAAAAAATAACATAATTAATAATAGAGGGTTTTAAAAAACAAAATTAAAAGTTAGGGAGGTTAATTTTAAACTTTTAAACTTGAGAGGAGTTACATGTAAGTCTCAAAGTTTAGAGAAGTTTTATGCATTTTAGCCTTTATTTTAATATTTGACCTTGATCCTTGTATGAGATTTTACAAATTCCTGATCCTTTAACATCATTTATGCTTTTGAATCATAGACATGTACGTGCATGTAACTATCTTGGTTTAAATGGTTTCCATATGAACTTCGAATTCAATACGTGCTTCATTTTCTTCTGGACCTGAGAGTTGAATTTGTTTTCCCTTTTGAATACACCTGATAACCAATATTGTCTGAAGCCTTGTGGTTTATCAGATTTACCTCCCTAATCTACTAATCTATTTGAAATGAGTAAGATTTCACTTTCTCCAAGTAATAAATATTTTTATCAAACAGCTTAAGAGTCATTAGATCTATTTTATTTGAGTACTGTCCCAAATTTTAAAAAAGGAGAATTACATCCAAGCACCACTCAAGAAAATCATTTGCAGGCAAGGATTATACAGAATTGATTGTTGTTAAAATAGAAATAGAGATTTTTTTTTCCTTGATGAATGGGGCTTGTTATTAGTTCCTGTTTGCAAATAAGTTTCTTAAGTGTTCTTTGAATGTGATTCTCCCTTTAAAAAATTAGTTATATAATTTATTTCTTTTTTTGACCAAATATATAATTTACTACTTATTACTAAAGAATTTTACAACTTATTAATTTTATTAAATATATTGATACATTGATTCAACTAATTATATATTTTTTAATAGAAATGCAACTGCATTAATCAAAAACTAACAACAGTACACAAATTAAGTAGTTCAAATAGCCTTATTCCTGTTATCATCCATATAATAAAATAATAGGTGAGGGTTGATCAAAGGGGGGAAAAATCTTAATATCAAAATGGTAATTAATATCAATTGTATTTAATGCTTTTAATATGCATTTAAACAAAGTCTTAGTCGTCTATGAGAATTGGGAGATCCTATTTCTATGTTTCAACTATTTGTGGTCATCCTTAGGAATGTGCATGCAATGCATATGTAGATCATCCAAATACGATTTGAATTGTCTTCATCGTATCTGTACTTTTTGTGGCTTTTCATTTAGACAATTATTCTTTTTTAAGTCGGACATAAGGAAATGATATCATTTTTAAAAATTTTTAATATTAAATTAAAAACGCAAAAAGGAATAAAAATTTTAATAAAGCAAATAATAGTTGGATCATTCAAATGTGGTCCAAGTCTCTTTTGGATGGTTTACATGAGATGTGCATCCGGGGAACATTCCAAAAGAAAAAAAAAATGTTCTTTGAAATAAGTCTCGCTATATATTCACCTAAAGTAATGACATGTTTAATTATGCAGCCCGTTTATAATATTGCAAAAGGATTAGATGGCATTAACTGATGCTGATATTGCAAGGCACATAATTCTAGACATTATTGACGGTAATGCTGAGCCTATGTTACCAGAAGATTGTTGCATATTCAAAGTTCATGATGTTCTCAGGAAAGAAAATGAGGAGGCCTTCACTCCTTATTTGGTCTCAATTGGTCCAATTCATCGGAACAATGAAATACTGCAACCAACGGAAAAGCATAAAATCAAATATTTTATGCATTTTCGTCAACGTCTACCAAATGGACAAGAGGATTTAGAGAACTTCACAGCTTATATCGGAAGCGAAGAAAGCAAGATCCGAGGGTATTATTCAGAGACATACTCTGAGCAGGGGAAGAGAGAATTTGTGCATATGATATTGTTAGATTCCGTCTTCATCATGGAACTCTTTCTTTGAAATTGGTATGACGATCCCGATGAAACTACTGACGATGTCTTGTTTTCCAATTCTTGGATGAAGAAGAGCATTGAGCGGGATTTACTACTCATCGAAAACCAGATTCCAGTTTTTGTCTTGAAGAAATTATTTGTCTCGGTGCCTACTGGCGAAGGGACTACGGGACCATCAAGTTTTCTTTTGCTTTCCTGCTGCTACTTTGAAACATATGACCCTAGCTTGAAAGTAAAATATAAAAGAGATCAATTGAAAGCCAACAATAGAGGAGATCAATTGGTATTGAACGGAAGAAGACAACAGTTGCTCAAGCAGCATTGGAAAACGCCGGATCATTTCACTGATTTGATGAGATATTTTTTCATTCCTCAGGGTTTGTGTTACGATGGCGTTTCCACCCCTGTCGTGAAGACCGCAACAAAGTTAGAAGAGTCAGGGATAACTTTTGAGCCAATGCCAAAGGCATGCCGACTTGATGTCAAGTTCCGGAAAAGAGAATATGTGCATTGGCTAAGTTGGTTTCCTCCTTTGTGCTGGCTAAATTTTTTAAGTGCTCGTTTGCAAATCCCAAGACTCATTGTCGATGGCTCAACAGAATCTATTTTACTCAACTTCATGGCCTTGGAGATGCTTCATTATCCTGACCATCATTGGGTTTGCAACTATGCTGCTCTGTTTGACAATCTCATTGACACTGAAAAGGACGTGGATGTGCTAGTTGAGAGCCAAGTTATTGAACACAAACTGGGGAGGAACGAAGATTTGGCAAATCTATTCAACAAAATCTGTAAAAACATTGTTGTGAAATCCAGTTGTTATGCCACTCTTGCAAAAGACCTGAATAACCACTACGACAGCCCTTTTAACAGCACCATGGCACAACTGAGGTTGGTATACTTCCGAGGCCTATGGAGATGTACCGGCACACTAGTGGACGTTGCTGTTCTTGCTTTTGCTATCACCGGCTTCATCGAAGCCATTGAAGATTTAACCTAAGATTAATTGTTTTCTTATATATTTCTATGCTGATCCATTGCAATTTTAATGGCTGTACAAGAAAAATAAGTTGGTTAATTTCAATATCATGTTTTTGTTTGCAAGGCATAGGATTCTTTTGCATGTGGCTTGATATTTGACATTTGATTATCGACATGAGACTGATTTATTTATATATTTGAAATGATCTTTTTCTTTTGATTAAACTTTGTATAATGTTGATTACTGGAAGTGTTGTAAGTGGTGGCAAAAGGCCTAGGATTCTTTTGCATGTGACTTGATATTTGACATTGATTAATGATCTGAGATTGATTTATTTATACATTTGAAAGATGAGAATTATTATTAGAAAACAGTATTTATAGTACTAAGGATTATTTTCTTTATAATTGCACCACTAAAAAAACTCTATTCAAAAGATATTTTTGTTCATACATAATGGTTTTTAGCCGCTATATGTTCAGGTACTATATAGTCTATGGGCAACTATATAGCGGTGTTTAACCGCTACATAGTTGAGATATATATAGTGGTTATTTGCATAAAACCATTGAGTAAATCTTTTCAATTTTTGGTTAAATGATTCTATAGTAAACTCTTTAGTGGTTATTTTGAAATAACCGCTAAATGGTTTAGCAATATTCAATGGTTATTAAAAAAAAAACCAATGAATAGATTTTCTCAGTTTTCACTACAACAGATCTGACCATAGAGGATGATTATTTTTCATAATAAATGATGGTTGACAATGGTCCTCTATTTGACCGTCCTCTATTGCTAAGATATATAGGACAGTTATAAAACGGTCCTATATTGAAGATAAATGGAGGACGGTTTTTAAATAACGGTCCTATATAACGTTCGAATTTTGGTCAAAATTAGAAATAGATAGGCCTTAGAAGACGGTTATATTAGATAACCGTCCTATATTTGGTATATAGAGGATGGTTATGGTAACAACCGTCCTCTAATGTCATTTTTTTAATAGAGTTAGCTGCTTTTCCAGCAACCCCCCTACAATACAAAAACATATATACCTAATAAAACTCTAGAACAGCCTAGAAGATATACCATACTCAATTGAAAACTATAATATTTACAATTTAATTACATCAAAAGTATTGAATTTAAAATTCAATGATATAAATCAATCAATTTGAGGTAAAATACCAATCCCTAAATTATATCTAAACTATATATTGACAACTAAACTAATCTATTCCTAGACTAACTACATATTATTACCTCATATTGGATGTGACCCACTTTTTATATGCATATTCCTCTTTGAGAACTTCATTAATTTAGGTATCATCGAAACGAGGTGTAGCACAATCTAGATAGTATTGCAACATACATAAAAATGAAGTTAGTTGATGACAATTAATATTCATTATAATATAGAAAATATATTACACAAATTATAGATACCGTGAGGGGGATTGTAGGCTGCCTGTGAGTGATGATGTCTTTACCATACCTCATCACACAGTAGCTGCAATCATGACTGTTGTCGATTTGTCGGGGGCACTACATGAAGAAAACCATAAATATATATTTTATTAACATTAAAAAAATGAAAAAAATTAAGTAATTGGCAGTAATTTAAAGATACCTGTATTACATTCCATTTAATGGCATCCTTGTATTCCTTGAATGATCTCTTGTTTGGAAGACTTGCATCGATGTGATATAGCACAATAGCCCTAATATACGGAAGATAAACATGTTAGAAATGTAGAATTTTAGAAACAAATAAAATATTAGTTACTAAATATACTTGCCTATTAAATAGCTCCATCATATCCGGTCAGTTAGTTGGATCCCTATCATGAGGAGCTGAATCTAAATAGCACACCTTTGGAGCTTTAGGATCTGCTGGCTCAATCATAATAAGCATCCAGTGTCCCCTAGGAGAATTGGATGATGTATGTTATAATTGAAATTTGAGAAAGACAATAAAATGCAATCAAGGTTTTAGAAAACCAAGTAACTAACCTATTAAGATAAGGAATAAAAAATAACATCCCCTTTGAAGCCGGTCTTTCCTTGAAGTACATGGTCAATGTTTGAGATTGCTACTATAAACACTTATCCTTCTAACTGCCTTCAAAACTTGGGAACTCATAGGTATTGACCAACACAAACCTTAATCCCAAGTTACCAAGAATGATGAAGGTATCATACAAGTACCTAAATGAAGAAATTGACAGAAGTTAATATGAATAAAAGCTGTAATCTAGATATATGAATAGGAAGAGTAATTAAGTACCTTATATAAATGTTTACTGGGCTGTGGATGACCTCATTGCGTGTCAAGATGGTATTGATGATGTCAAAGTCAATAATCTCTCCTCACTCGTCTAAATCTCAGTACTATAGGAAAGTACCATAGCACCTTCTTTGGACTCTTCCCATTCTCCTTATAACGTGATGCTAAACATTTAGGGCACTCAGATAATGATTCATGTTCTTTCCTAAATAAAATGCAATCATTCGGGCAAGTATATCTTCTCATAGCTCAAGCCAATAGATTTTAACATCTTTGCATCATATAGTTGCCTTGGAAGTTTGTTGTCCTTCGGTAGCATTTCGTCATGCAAATATGAAAGCAAGTTTGTGAAGCTCGTATCACTCCACCCACCTTCTGCTTTTAATTGATATAATTTTAACACCACAGTCAACTTTGACACGTGTTCCCTAGTACCAATGTACAATGTCGTCCCCGCATCACTTCTCAACCTTTCAAGCATTTAAGGACAATCAGTGAGTTCCACTTCAACTGTGTTAGCCATCTCTTCAACACGATCTACCTCACCTATACTTGTGTCAAAGTCATTTGAAACATAGTTATGGCTAGTTCTAGTCATGTCCCTTACCTCTCCATGCTTATACCAACACTTATAATTTTGATCGATTCCATTAACCACTAAATGGTCTTCCAATTCCCGTGCAGTGACCAGCCTCATAAGTCCACATCTTAGACAAGGCCACACAATGCTCATACTGTCTCCCTTATGCTCAACACCAACCTTAATAAAGTGGCTCACCCCCTCCATATATTCCCTCGATCATCGATCCGTAGACATCCATTCTTTATCCATAATCTCAAATCTATAAAAAATTGTTAAGGGACATATGATGAGTGGCTCAATTATCGTAAGTGCAAGATAATAATTTAACTATTAACTCATCAACGCATTACTCATGAACTACTTGATTAAAAATAGTGGGGATCCCTAATAAAAAATGCCCACTATTAAAAATAAATTTAAGTATATTTTAACTTATAGTTCTTTTAGTTGTCTAATAAGCTACAATTTTCATTTTAGAGTACTAGCTAGTTGTTAGTACTCTTAAAAGAAAATTCGGCATTATAACGGTTTAAAATTGAAACTTTCCCAGGCACTTAGCCCTCTCTTCATACTTAAACTCATCACTATATAATATAATTTTAATCCAATTCAATCATAAATAACAACAACAACTCAAACCCCTCTCTTCAACGAGTCAAAGATTGGTAGTAAATGATACTATATGAATAAAAGAATATTAAGATGAATAGTTTTGAGAAGAGTAAAATGGAAAAACCAAGCTTGTGGGTTAAAAGGGTAGGTCTAAAGGCCATATTTTTTTTGTTTAAGAGTGCTAACTAGTTGTTAGTACTCTTAAACAAAAATTCAGTAGCATAATGGCTTAAAATTAGGCCTTTCTCGGGTACTTAATCCTCTCTTCACATTTCTACACTTTTAGTTACATCTAACAATTGTTTTTGGTGATATGCAATTTTTTCTATTACAAAGTTCTTTGATTTAGTACAAAAATTTGAATATACTTCTTAGACTTCAATCATTAAAGCTCACAAGCTTTATTTTTTAAAATTTAAAATCAACATCAAGCTCACAAAAAGTCATAGAAGCAAATTCAAGATGAAGCTCACAAAATTTAATCCATAAATTAAACCAAAACAAAGCTTAAAGTACCTATAAAGCTTAAACCAAGACATGGAAGTAAGGATTAAAGCTTGAAAGGCAACCACAAGCAAGAATTAAAGCTGCCCACAAGAAAAATTAAAAAGAAAAAACAATATAACACCAAATGCATGATAGAATTTAGAAAATAGAACAAAAAAATTTGGGTGAAGTAGTTGCAGCACGAGCATGAGGGAGGAAGGAAGAAGACGAAATACATAGGCACAAGCACAATTTTGAGTTTCAAGCTTTGTGATTCTGGGTTTAATCTGAAGCCTAGTTCAAGCAGAATTGTTTGACCAACTAACTGTTTTTTTTTTTTATTTTTTGTCTAATTCTTGAGCTTATAAAGTTCAAATTTTCTCCTTTCAAACATTTTATCGAATACCTTATGCGCACCAATGTTCAATCTATAAATCTATTCTCTTTTTTCCCCAAATATCATCCTAATAAATTCAGAAGTGAGTAGTAAAGAGATAAAATGCCCAGTTAATTCGAGCATAGACAAACACACAGAGCACACCCAAGAAGTTAAAGGAGCTTATAATGAATTGAAGCCAAGAAGTTGTTGCTAAAGATGAACACAAAACTCACAGCCCAAACGAAGATGAACTCGAAGGATTAGTGGGTTTTGGTTCTAGTTTCCAACGAAAATGATGATAGGATTCTAGGTTTCTAAGAGTAATGACGAATGCGAGCAATTCTGGTTTTACAGCAAACAAAAATGATCGAAGAAGCAGAACAACAAGTCTGTTAAAGGGTTTCTATATAGGATGGTTGAAATGAAAACTGTCCTTTATAGTAACAACATAGAGGATGGTTACATATGATAATCGTCCTTTATAAGTTTATGTTTTTTAAAAAAAATTGTGAAAATCAAAATCAAATAGAGGAAGATTAAGCTTGGAACCATCCTTTATAATTTCAATATAGAGGACAGTTCTTTATACAACGGTCCTATATGGTATTTAAAATTTTTTAAAAAAGCATGCCCAATAGTCCGCCTGTTGGATATAGGACAGTTTTCTATAAAACCGTCCTATATGAGGCATCTTGTATACACGATTTTGTAGTAGTGTTTGGTCAATTTTTATGAGGATGTGCAGAAATGGCTTAACAGTTATTTCAAAGTAACCGTTAAATAGTTATGTCAATTCAGTGGTTATTTAAAATAGC